TAATACCCCCTTAGAACGTGACAAGGCAAAGAAAGTGTCTTCACCTTCCTGAAGGTGCGTGAAAAGAAAACAGTATATGTTAAAATGACAAATTTCAACACATGACACTATTTCATTGGTCATTATATAATTATGTATTATAATTTTTAATATGTTAATTGTTTCAATTTTCTTTCTTTTTTAATCTTTTTATTGGTGGCCCAATTGGAAAAATGCATAAGTATCCCCCCCCCCCCCCCCCCCCCCCCCCCCACCCCCCCCCCCCCAAGCCTATGCCTGAAATCTCAGAGACACACTTATACTATACCAAGGTCCTATTACCCTCCCGAACTTATTTTATAAATAATTTTCTACCCCTTTTCGGCCTATGGGAAACTATCAACCAGATAGCTTAAAAAATTGTCAACACGCGTTAGGCCCAGAAGATAGTGCCACGTAGGACGAAAAGGGGTAGAAAATTATTATAAAATAAGTTGGGGGGGGGGGTAATAGGACCTTAGTATAGTATAAGTATGTCTCTGAAATTTCGGGCATAGGTTGGGGGGGATACTTATGCATTTTCCCGGCCCAATTTGTTTAAAGCTTTTACATTTTTCTTTTTTTTTGAGTTCTTCTTCTTTCTTAAGGAATCACTACATTTGTTACCATTGATTGTTTGATGGAAGCACATTCAACACTCTACCATAAAGAGGAACTCTTAAAAAATAGAAAGGAGTGGAGAAGATGATGACTTCCATCGAAAAGTTGATAATTTTCAACTTAAAGTTAATGATTTTTCCGTTCGAACTCGTCGGAGGATTCAGTAGAGAAGATCATCGAAAAAGAATCATGAGAAAGATAATGATTTCTATTGATTTTTTTTATATTTATGCATAAAATTCATGATTATATTGCCTAAATTTATCAAAAGTTCACCGAAGAAAATGATTTCTCAATCTTTGTCTTCTCTATTCTCTCCGAAGAACTACCAACAACCACCACAATGTTATATTTATGTCTCATATCATCAATAGCATATTTGATTAATCAATTACACACAAAAAATACTAATGAAATGCTTGATTTACATACATAGTTATCAAGATTTTTAAAGAATTATACAGATCTGAAATTTTTTATTTGTTTGATCGGCAACAATGGTGTTGTCCATCGCTTATCACCGCCACCAACATCTCTATATTTCATACTCAACTTACTGACTCCTATATTCTCTTCAAATTTTAATTTTTCCCTTCAATTTATGAACAATGGAGAAGGAAGAAGAAATAGATTTTAAAAAGAGATATGTATGGTGAGAGAAGGAAGATTCCCATATTTTTAATTTTTTGCAAAAGTTTAAGAAAATATCAAGGAAAAATGTTTTAAATTTTTTAAATAATATTATTTATGTATGAAAACACGTGTACAACACTTTTTTTTGCACAAAACTGAAATTGTCTTTGGAAGGGGGTATTAATATCACTTTGAACAAGATTAGGTGTGTAATATATCGTCACAATAGTTTGAGCGTGTAACTGACTTTTCGGCACAAGTTCAGGGGGAAATTTATGTCTTTTTCCATTTTATAAATTCATAGAATATTCACAAAAAAACCAAGATATGGCCTCCTACATTCGAAAAATACACTACTAGCAGCCCTCGAATACCGGAGAAATTCAGAAAGAAGAATCAAGGAGCAACAAATTTTATACTTGCAATTTTAATAAATAAAATTATTCTTCTTATTTATTTTGTGATTGCAATATATTTTTGAACTTTGAGAAAAATTGTTGCAAATAATTACGAAATTAAAATGGATTAATATTTTAAAAATATCATTACAAATTAATAAAAAAAATGATATATTAAAAAAAAAGGGGGCTTGGGGGGGGGGGAGGATTGCAGATGGCATCACATTATTAAATTAAAAAATAATTAAATTTTGATTGTAAAAATAAAAATATATGTACATAAGGAGTAGCAGAGTAGGGGTCTAAACAGAGCAAAGAGGTTGAATCTAAACATAACATAACAAACTTTAGGCATGGAAAAACTTAATCCACCTTACCTGCGCCATTATCATCTCTAAGCATAATAGCATGTTTGGCATTACGGTTAAAAATGACTTATTTTTAGAAGTAATTTTTATTATGATTTTTCAAAAAAGTAATTTTAAATAAAATAATTTGTGTTTGACTAATTCATTTGAAAAGTGCATTTCATAAGTGAATTACGCTTGACTGATCTTTTTTTAAAAAAATTCTTTTGAGAATCGAATTACCAAAAAGAACAACTATTAATGTTAAGATTATTTTATAGAGCGAAACAATTTTAAATATCTTTTATAAAATAATTAAATTTTTATTTTTATTAAATTAAAAAGTACTTATTTAAATTTTTAATCAATAGTATACATTTATTGGAGACTGAAACTTTAATTGTTGTATTTTTTTCTTTTTTCTAATCTTGCAAAATTATTGTTATTACTTTTTTTTCTAATTTTGCAAAATAATATGTAAATAATATATAATATATAAAATAAAATATATAAACTTAAAATAAATTACCAAGTTTATTTATAAAAATAATAAATAATATTCTTAAGTGAAATTTAACTAAAATTATGAAATATGCTAATTAATTAATAAGAGATATAGTGATGAATATGAATATATGAAAAAAATATTTTAGTCTTGAGAAAAATAATTCTTTTTTTCTACTTCTACTTTTTTTTCGGGAAAATGCATAAGTACCCTCTCAGCCTATGTCCAAAATCCCTGAGACACATCTAAACTTTACTAAGGTCCTATTACCCCCGAACTTATTTTATATATAATTTTCTACTCCTTTTCGGCCTACGTGGCACTATCTTGTGGGCCCAGCGCGTGTTGACAATATTTTCAAGGATAGTGTCACGTAGGCCGAAAAGGGGTAGAAAATTATATATAAAATAAGTACGGGGGGTAATAGGACCTTAGTAAATGTTAGGTGTGTCTCAGGGATTTTGGGCATAGGCTGGGGGGGTACTTATCCATTTTCCCTTTTTTTTTTAAAAGCAAAACTTTTAAGCTTCTTTTTAACAATAGAAAAACTGCTTTTGCTTTCTTTTAAAAGCACTTTTACTGATTTACCAAATATTTATTTTTTTAACAAAAATATTATTTTTCTCAAAATAAGTGATTCTGGCCTTCCAACAGCAATGTGAAACAGGCTCTAAGTTTCATTATAAATCATAAAATTATATGATTTTAAAATATAAAAAAGTATATTCAAAATTATGATGGTGTTTGAATTTGCTTTTTTAAGTAACTTATAACCTAAAAGCTAAAAGCCATATCCAACATTTGATTTTTAGATTATTTTGAATATTGTTTTAGCATAAAAAGCTTTAAAACACTTTTTGTCCTTTTTAAATACTTCCAAAAATTAAAAAAAGAGCTTAAAAATTAAAGGTACTTAAAATAAATTAATTCAAACACCCTTGTAACATATCACATTATAAAAATAAAGATATTTAGTATAATTATTTCTATTTAATTATATCTAAATAAAAAAATAAATTTCAAGCAAATCACTAAGTAATTTTTCTTAGAGAACGCCATAAATGGCCCCAGAACTATTTGAGTAGAAATAAAATAGTCTCTTAATTATATATTTATAACTTTTAGTCCTGTAAGTATTCAAAAAACTTATGAGGTTTGATTTTGTCTACTTTTTCTTTATATAAATAACTTATGTTATATTGATGAAATGCATGCCTCTGTGAAATTAAATTTTTTACCTATTTTTCGAGTTGTTTTTTTTTTCTCTCTATTACTTTTTCTTCAAATTATTTTTATGAAAAGAACCTTAATCTCATCGATTCAAAATAGAATTAACGAGGAAAGAATATATAAATCCTAATTTTATTCAATGAAGGGTAAATGGAGTATATTACTGTTAGACTTGAATATATTTAAATTTATTATTAAAAAAAGTTATAACTTGTTATGTATGGGGAGAGATGTATTTATATTTAATGGAAACAAATTTTTTGCAATAAGAATAAAATTAAAAGTTCTTGCTCACATATTTTTTTATTTCAAATTTTGTACTCACACGACTTTATTAAAGGGAATTTGTTAAAATTTTAGAAGTTAGTAATCTCGACGAAGATTAGGATGAGCTTTGATGAATAAAAGAAGAATTGGAAGTTTACAAAATAATAGGTTCACAACTTCTTTTTTAGCTTTTTTTTTCATTTTGAAATAGATCAATTTTGTTATTTAGTTCGTTTTATTTTATGCAGAAAAATTTGAGTAATAATATCACATCTCTTATTATATTTGTATGCAAAATAAAATTATAAAAATTCACATGATTATGAATCGTTAATCGCTAAAAAAGAAAGCGTAGCATAGTCAAGTCATTAACAACAATAATGTGCTTCATTTTATCCTCAATTATATAAAATTAAAATTTATATCTTATTTCTTTATTAATTTTAGTTTGAATACTTGAGGTCACAATTCTTTTTTTCAGAGTAATTTGAAGAAAAAATTAGAGAGAGAGAAAAAAAATTGAAAACATAAGTTACAAATTTAATTTTAGGAAGGCATGAATTTCATTAATATAGACTTAAAAAATAAACAGAAACAAAACTCGATAAGTTTTTTAACAAATTTAATTTTAGGAAGGCATGAATTTCATTAATATAGACTTAAAAAATAAACAGAAACAAAACTCGATAAGTTTTTTAACAAATTTAATTTTAGGAAGGCATGAATTTCATTAATATAGACTTAAAAAATAAACAGAAACAAAACTCGATAAGTTTTTAATATTTAAAAGACCAAAATGGATAAATATAAAAAAAAAACTCGTGTATAGAGGAAAAGAAGGGATTAACAGTCGGGAAGGTTCTAGACAAGTATAGAAACAAGGTGATGAAGAGAAAGAAGCTCCTCGAAACTTTCCTTCTTCTTCTATTTTCCTCTAGAAATTTCCACACTTGTGTTATATATATCTACCTCTCCTGTAATCAGAATGGAAGTCTAATTTGAACAATTTCAAACACGAAATCACAACATCCAAGAAGTGAAGAATGGATTTGAGGTTGCTGGGTATCGATAACACACCACTCTTCCACACTCTCCAGCATATGATGGAAGCTGCCGGTGAAGATTCCGACAAGTCGGTCAATGCACCATCAAGGAACTACGTTCGTGATGCTAAGGCCATGGCTGCTACACCAGCGGACGTGAAGGAGTATCCTAATTCGTATGTTTTTGTTGTGGATATGCCAGGGTTGAAATCTGGAGATATTAAAGTGCAGGTGGAAGAAGACAATGTGCTGTTGATTAGCGGAGAAAGGAAGAGGGAAGAAGAGAAAGAAGAGGCAAAGTTTATTAGGATGGAGAGAAGGGTTGGGAAATTCATGAGGAAGTTTAGTCTGCCAGAGAATGCGAATACTGATGCGATTTCTGCTGTTTGTCAAGATGGAGTTCTGACTGTTACTGTTCAGAAATTGCCTCCTCCTCAGCCAAAGAAACCAAAAACAATTGAGGTGAAAGTTGCTTGAAGTTATGGACTCTGTTTTATGAATGGAGCTTCTCTGTTTTGATGGTTTAAACATGGATTTAATAAAGTGATTGCTGCTCTAGATTTACCATATTTTGATGCATCCAAAGTGTGAAGGATTAACCAAAAATTGTTAGTGCGTGTATCTTGTTTGATACTGAATTGAATTTTCATTACTTTTTTTTGTCTCATTTCCTTACTTGGAAGTTATAGCTGTATCACAATAGCCATTATCATTTCACCTGATTTATAAAATAGATATACACCCTCGATTCCTTTTCATAGCTATCCTTTTCTATAAATATCTAGATCACAATACTTGTCATTTTATAAAATTAAATTAATACATAAATTATTATATTCTTTTCATTATATCATTGATAGATTAGTTAATTAATATTGAAAACATATATTTTTTCCCATTTACTATTCTTTATATTTGATTTTGAAAAAAATATATATCAACAAACAAATTAAAATATTTTTACACAAAATATATAGAAAAATTGAGGTGGAAAAAATTTAATTTTTTAATTTTTTGGATCAATTGGTGAAAAAATTTGTCTCCAAAGTAAACTCAAAATTTAAATAATCATTCAAATGCATTTTAATTTTTGAAATCTAACATATTCATCATTTATTATAAGATTGATTTAAAGAAAACATAAAATAAGGGTAGACAGGTAAAGTTACTTAATTTTTTAATGAAAATTCAAATTAAAAAGTTTGACATATAAAAAGAAACGGAGAAAGTATTTGTTTAGTGTATTGTATTACTATCTAAATCCTCTCCAAATGTATTTTACTAAGAAATAATAATATTTTGTTGCTAGAAAATAGTCGAAAGAATAAAAAATGCTTCCCCGTAACTCTTACTCTAGAGCGAGCCAATATGCATTCATGAATTCTGAACTCTTTATAAATGAAATTGTTGTATAGACTTTGTTTTAATGCTATCATTTTTTATGATGAATACTTTTATATGAGATATAATAATGTACTACTATTTACGAGAAATGAAATTTGCAATTGTTAGTATTTGTGTTCAATTCAGTAAATCAGAAATCTAGAAGAAGTAAAAAAAAAAGAAGTATTTCGAGACTGTTGTTAATTAGGATATGGGTTATTTTTTCTTTGAGGTTGGAATGAAAAAAATATTTTTGTAAGCGTGGCCATGTAATTTAGAAGTCTGGCAAATTCAATTGAATGGATGTGTCAATAGGTAGGTGCATCGTTTATTTATCGTTCTCGTTCGGGATCTTGTTTGGGAGTTAAAACAAATATATTTGTTATTTACATAGATAAAGGACCAACCATTTCCATAAGCTACCTTATATGAGGGACCAAATTAATTTAAACTCATATATTAAGGATTATTTTGATCATTTAAAACATGTCATAATAAGAACTTGGACAAAGACAATAGTGAAAACAACAATCTAAAAGAAAAGATGAAGGTAATTATTTATTTTCTAAGGAGAATTATTTTCACCATACTTGCTAGCAATTTGAACCATGTTCTAGAAGAGTGTAGAATACGGATAACGTCTAAGCAGAAACGTGTTCTATTTCCCTCCAGAAGCTTCCACTATATAATCACCCCATCTTTGAATCAACATAAAAGCTAAAAATTGCAAAATTACTCTTTAAAGTGAAACCAATTGATCAAAGCAAAACCACTAGATTTTACCAAATTTTTATTATGTTTGAAGGATCCACTAAATTTGTTAGTACATGTGCTATATCTTGGTTAAAGCAAGTGCGGTACAATTTTCTGCCTTATCATATAGAGTCCACTTCATCTGTTTTAAAATCTAAACGACTTCTTAACAAATTCATCTATATCAATTCTTTTTTGGTTTGTTAACAGGGCCCTATTTTGTGCTTGCAATTAAGCAAGAGAAGATTGTGGTTGATCTTATTTATAAATAAATAAAAATAGAAAGCTTTCTGAAATGGTAAGATCAAAAATCATATAGACTGATTTGTGTAGCTTTGGTCTTACCAAAATACATAGGCTAGCTAGTTAAAATTCCTTCATCAAAGAGTTGCACAGTTTAAATGCAATATCCTCAAACATTGACATGAACAAAATTTGCAGATTTTCTAGTCTCGGATGTTCTTGATTGTTGCTTCTTTCTCATCATCCATTTATAGACCAAACGAATTGTGTTTCCAAGCAAAAGTAATGCCATTACAGAGCTCCATACTGTAACAGCAACTTCAATAACCTGGCCAAGTTGTTCTCGGTCCTTCTTAGGCGTGACAATGTATATTGATATGCCATAAGTGAGTGCTATTGAGGTTATTGTCAACCACATAATAACCATTAAAGCCCACATAAAAAACTTTTTCCTGAAGGGCAATCCACTTATTAGCAGCAGTATTGTGCTAAGAGAAGCCACAAAGGCTGTTGTGTTGACACGGATAAAGTATCGATATGATTTGGGATGACTATACGCCATTACTGCTTCCCCTGCTTTGTGTGGTATTTGTAGGGAGTTTACTTGAGAAATTAGCACTTCCTTATTGTCTTGCCAGACGCCTCCTGGAGGGTTCATTCCTGCTTGAAACGCCATAGTTGCAATAAGCGATGCCACTACCATTATTGCATCACGTTTCCTCGAAAGCCAATCACCTGAAATGTCGTGCTTGTGGGCTAAAGCAACTTGAGAATTACAACATTTGGCTACATTTTTGGTGTAGGATGATGAAATCATGTCCTTGGCTCTTAAACCTCCAGCATCACGGAGACGGTCTCCAATTTCCAGATCATTCATGTCTCTTCGACTTTGTGTTAAAATGTCTAGTGTTGTGTTCCCATTGTCGTCCTTTAAGTTGACCTCAATCTTATTGTTTTTTAGCAGATATTTAACTGTCTGCAAATTTTAACATGAAACATTAACTCCATTTTCAAGTAACATCTCTAAGTTTAGAGGGGATGGATTATGACTTTAGAGTGGATGGGTTACAACTTGTTTATTGACTTGATCTAACAAGTTCAACCCGTTATAACCCATCAAGTCATTGGGTCAAAATAGTGTAAATTAGATTAACTCAAGCTAATAATTTAAGAAAATACATTATCATTCATTCTTGTTCTCTTAAGAAGCAAATAACAGAGGAGGGCATAGAGCCCATTTTGACGGGCTTACTTTAAGTATTTTAATGTCAAAATAGCTTTTAAGCATTTTTGAAGTGTTTTGATAAATTAAAAAGTGGTTACAATTACTCAATTTAAAGTTAAAATGATAAAAATAAGTCAAAAATCTATAAGTCAGTCCGAATAGGTTCTAGTATAGTCATTTTTGAAAGGTTTGAATTATGACTTGAATTTTCAAGCCATCTTGAGTCTAAGAGCGTTTTTAAGCTAAAATAGTTTTTTAACACTTACATTGTGTTTAGATAAAAAAGAAAGTGTTTTAAAGCTTTTATCTTTAAGCCAAAAAAAACAAAAATAAGTCAAAAGTTACAAGTTAAAGTATAAGATTTTTGACCTCTAAACCAAGAGTAAGCTTATCCGAGTAAACTTGGGTGGGTTTTATCAAATTTGACCCATCTGCCCGTGTCAATTTTCTTCTTTCTCAACTTTTGTGATGGAATACTAGATTAATTAGTAAGTTTGTACAGCAAAGGGCAAGAACTCACCTCAATTTGCTTATCAGCAACAGCCAAATGTAGAATGGTATATCCATCTCCATCTCTAGCATTCAACAATTTATCATCTGATATCATTTCCATCAGCACATTCAGAGCCTCCAGCTGATAGTTATGCTTCACACACAAATGTAGAACGTTCTCACCGCGATCAGTCGTCTGCAGAGCTGCAAGATGGCTTGCTCGAACCAGTTCCTTAATAACCTCAACTCGACCTTTGATTACCGCAAGATGTAGAGGATTTCTACCTTCACGATCACCAGCCAGACACATTTCAGGATTCACTACCAACAACTCCTTAACAATTTCTACGTACCCTTTGATCGAAGCAACATGAAGTGCAGAGGATCTTCGTAAATCCAGTTCAGCAGCAAGCAGGGGATTTCGCGCCAGAATGAACTTTACAAACTCAATGTGTCCCCGCATTGATGCTATGTGTAAAGGAGTTTCATTAAAGCAAGTTAAGGTAAGTCTATCAAGAATCAAACCATCCAGTTGAAGTAATTCTTGTAAAGTAATTACATCTCCTTCTGCTGCAGCTTCGTAGAGTCTCTTCTCAATTTCCATCTCCTTCAATTTCACTCTTAATTTCTTTCTTCTAATCTTTGGCTCTGTCGCCTACAAGTACAACCTTGCAAATGAGATATACTATAGCTTTAATTAGTTGGAGGCTCCTTTGGAGCTAAGTCAACGTTGAGAGATAACAAGAAAAATGATGTATTTAACTTATTGAGATAACAAGAAAAATGAAGACTTTGAACAAGTCTTGTCTACTTTCACAGAAAGAGAGAGGAAGTTGAAGGTAAACAACTAAGGAAGGGACCATTAGTTGAGTCACATTTGCTTTATTTAATTTTTGGAAAAGGTATTAAATTTCTTTTAACTTGGTTATTTTAGAGTTCATATACCACTTGTTAAAAGAATGGTTCACGTATATTTTTATGTGATGTAATTGACTCAAATATATCATTTTTAAATGGATGGAAGTGAAAAATTAATCTTAATTTCTTCATTAAAATAAAATTTATGTAGGAGTATAGTTGACCTTTCTCGCAAAATTCAATGATATACATGATCTTTTTTTCTTCGTTGAATAAAATTTATTATCTTAACTATCAAAATTATTTTTTACTTTTCTTCTTGTAAAAACTAATGTAGATGCCTTGATTTTTTTTCACAGAAAATAAATTACAATATGAACCCAAGAAAATTTAATTTTAATTTTTTTTTCTTACTTTTTTCCTTTTATTCCATTCACACTTATTTTTTATTTCTCATATTTTTACATTAAAAATAGAAAAAAATGATATAAGAATGAGAAACTCAGATAATAATAAGCAAAAAAGTCTATAATAGAGATATTTAAGACCTAAAGTATCTGCTCAACTTTAACTCACCGAGGGAGCAACCTCATTTTTCACCTTGAATTGGTCAAGAATCAAAAAAGTCACAAAAACAATCACACTTAAGAAAGATCAAATATAACGCTTAACTTTGCGCTTGGATCAAATACGCCCTATATGGATTTTTTTATGATTAAAAATGATTAACTTTTACTTTAGTTTAGGGATGGATTTTGATTAGTTTTCAATTTTGGTAAGGAAATGATTAACTTTAACCAT